GATGGGCCTATGGGCTGGTTTCCTGCGCTACTTGTATGTTCTCACAGTCTAGAGAAGGTTGCCACAACTTGATTAATACATAAAGGAATGGAACGCACATTATCTGAAACTCATAGTGTTAGAAAATTATGAGGATTATACCCTTTGATTAACACCTGATGTGTGTGGGGGGGGAGAGGAGGAGAAAGAAGAGGGGAAAGAAGAAAAGGATGGGGGAAGAAGGATAGAGGAGGAGAAAGAAGAAGAGGTGGTGGAGGAGGAGAAGGAGGAAGAGGAGGAGGAGGAGGAAATGGAGGAGGAGAGAAGAAGAGAGGCATCCATTTATAGAGAGATTCTGTTCCAAAAGTTTATTTTTAAATTGATGGCATATTTTTCAGAAACAGGGTTGTGGAAATTGACTGAGGGCCCAGGCCAGGCTGAAAAAGTAAATTGAATCAGCATTGCAGAAGCACAGTAGTAGAATCACAGAGCCGAGGCGTAGTTTCTAACGGCAGTGTTCCTGTGGGAAAATGTGTCGAAGATGCTGACTTGGAATGCCGTGGTCTTCTCTCTCTCAGGACCCTCCTATCCTGCTCTGCTCACTGCAGGGTAGAGTATGGGAAGTTTCTCTAACACCAAGTTGCAGGTGGAAGCTTCTGTGCCCAGGAGCAGAGGTGTGAGATATGAAAATGGTCTGGGATGAGTTGGGAGTAGGCCTGGGGCCCTGGGGGCACTGTGGAGAGTCCCAACAGGGCATCTTATGGACCCTCAGATGCTCCCCAAGCCCTTCTTGGTTCTTCAGCTGCATCTGATGATGGCCCACCTGCTTCCTTTCCCACCAGCGCCAACAACTTTCTTCCCTGGTCCATTCTGGAGCAGCAGCACATGGTCTCTATATTTATTCTTTCTATTCCTGCTCCAGAAATAACCACATGTTAAAATTTAATTGGCTCTTCCTCTGTTTTACCTTAACAACTATGAGCTTTCCAACTAGGATGAGTTGGATAAAGCCAGGGGTCAATGGGTAGGCAGATGGTTGAGAAATAGGAACATCACTGGCCATTATGCCTCCAGCGAGGAAGATGATACAAGGTAGTCCCAAAATATCAGCCCAAGATTAATTTTTTTTAAGGAAGGGGCAGGTTAGGAAGGTTTTTCTATTCCCAGGTTCCTCTGAGAGTAATGAGACTTTAGACATGATCTTGGCCACAATTGCCTAGCGGATTCACAGAAAAGTTAGGGTTTTTTCTTTTGTTTTTTGTAGTGGTGGGAATGGAACCCAGGTCCTTACACATGCTAGGCCAGTGCTTTACCACTAAGCTTTAAACGTTAGTTATCTGTATTGATATATAGCTAATTTAAAAAATGCCTTTCCCCGCCTCATTTCTTCCTATAATAGTTCCCCATTCTCTATTTAACGTGACATGAATTTATAGTGAAAACATAAAATAAGAATGAGTGTTGTGCCAGGTTGGGTTCCCCAGGAAGCAGACTCTGAGGTGGACATAAGGTGTTTATTAGGAAGTGCCCTTCGGGTCAAGCCCTGTGAAGGAAGGGGAGGGATTCAGGAGTGGGCAGTTGCTATGCAGGCCCAATCACAGACTTGGGGAAGATCTCGAGCTCCAGCCTGGGTTAGGCCGAGATGGCCAGGACTTTGTCACCTTGCATCTGTTGATCATCAGATGCAGGTTACCTGGGCCAGGTAGCTCTCTGCAACTAAGACACCTCCTGAAAGGGCTCTCAGCTGCTGGGTAACAAGCTTCTCATCAGAGAGGGCTCAGGGTGGTGCACCCACATGTCTACCATGACACTTAAAAATGGGTGAAAGATATGAATGTGTAAAAATACAAAGCACACTTGCTTAGATTATTATTACATCGGCACCGATTTCTCAACAGGATTTTAAAAAGAAATCCCACATCCATCAGTGGTCACTCCTCACTTTCCTCCAGGATTAGGTAACCACCAATCTATCCTCTGTCTCTGTGGATTCGTCTGAGACCACATAGTATGTGGTCTTTTGTGTCTGGCTTCATTAAGTATGATGTTCTCAAGGTTGATGCATGTTGTACCATGTATCAGGATTTATTCCTGGTCTGGGGATGTAGCTCAGTGGAAGAGTGTTTGCCTAGCTTGTAGAAAGCTCTGGGTTTGATTCTCAGTACCATCAAGGGAAAAAAAGGATTTCAATTACGTATTGCCACATAAAATTCCACTGTAGAGCTATATCACATTTTGCTTACCCATTCATCAGTTGATAGATAGTTGAATTGTTTCCATTCTCTGACTATTATGAGTAATGCTGGTGGTCTCACTGAATGTTGAATTTTTATAACAAGACTATGGTATTGATTGATCAGCTACTGTACTGTTAAAATGTTGATTGCCAGGAAAGATTACACATAACACATTAACATAGGCTGGCTTTAATGAATTTCCTGTTTTACTCCAAACTACTTTTGAAAAGAGATTACTGGGGGTAAACTAAATCTGGGATGATGTGGAGGCTGGCCTAGACCTGCCTACTGTAAATGTATTCTTATAGATAAAGCTTCCAAAGGAGCCTGAGATATTGCAACCATTTTATTGGTATATCTCATTAGGTACTCTTTTGCCTGGAAGCCAGTGAATAGACAAGAAACTTTGAAATCTATTTACAAAGTCTTGAAGTTAAATGTTTAGTTAGTTAATTAGTACAGTTAATGAGAAAATAAACTTCTATTTTGTTTCTTTTTTTTTGGGTCTATTTTGTTTCTTATTTGGCTAGTGTATGGAATATTTTCATGAGTTGTCCTATTTATGAATCAGTAAAGTAACAGATTTTTCTTTCCTTCATTTTTCATGATTACTTTATGAATTTGTCCATGTTTATGAGCATTTTGGAGGAGAACTAATGAGGAGAGTACAGCTAAGGATGATTGGCTGCTCCCTTGTGGATCCCTACAGCGATAAGTATAGTGTTTTTTATATAATAGGCACTCGTTAATCTTTGTGGATAGATGAACTCAAGCCAAACTGGCCATTTGCTAGCAATTGTGAAGGAAAGGTTTCATACATGAGAGACTAACAGAATTAGTTTGAGTGAAACTGTTAGATTATTGATATATGTCAACTGGTTTAAAAATTTCTATTTCTGGGCCGGGGATTTAGCTCAGTGGTTTTGGTGCCTGCCTTGTAAGCGCAAGGCCCTGAGTTCAATCCCCGGTACCAAAAAAATAAATAAATAAAAATAAAATAAAAACTTCTATTTCTTACTGGGATAGAAACATAGTTGTTTTCTTGATTTTGGAAACCAGGGTGTGCAAATTCACGTGATTTTTGTCTTAGGCATTGTATCAAGTATCTATTGCTGCATAACAAACTACCCCTAACATATGGTGGCTTCTAATTATTTATATTGATCACGAACTGCAATGTGAGGAGGACTGAGTGTAGACTGGTTATCTCTGTTTCAGGCAGCATCAGCTGAGGTGGCTTGACTAGGGCTGGAAGATACACTGGCTGGTAAGAGACTGCTGTTGGTTTTGTTCTTTAAGTGACTTGGGCTTCCTTACACCAAGTGACAAGCAGAAACAACGAGCATCCCAAAAGAACCAAGTTGAAGCTATACTGCTCCAGGGAATCTAGCCTTAGAAGTCAGACAATGTCACTTTCACCACTGTCCCATGCCCACTCACATTTAAGGGGAGGGAATAGAGGCCCCACCTCTCAATAGGAGTGGTGTTAGAAGTCATACTGTAAGAAGGGCATGTGGGGATAGAAGTATTGTTCTGACCATTTTTGGGAAAATACAATCTGCTATAGGGATTATTTATAATCCTTACCTATGGCCCCAATTTAAAAGATTTTTTTCCTGTTGTCTTTCTGATAATTTTTTTTCCAGTTGCTTCCTCTAAACTTGGTAGTTAAACATTTCAAAGGCTAACCTTTAGTTATTGGTGCTAGGGATCAAACCCAGGGCTTTGTGCATGCTAGGCAAGCCTTCTACCACTGAGCTACACTCCAGCCCCAAAGCTCCTAACATTACCCCTTCCTTCCTTCCTTCTTTCCTTCCTCTTTCTTTCTCCCTTCTCTCTTTCTTTTCTTTGTCTCTTTCCTTTCTTCCTTTTTTCTCCTCTTCTTCCTCCTCCTCCTCCTCCTCTTTCTCCTTTCTCCCACCCCTTTCTCATTATGTTACCCAGGCTGGTCTGAAACTCATGAGACCAAGTGATTGGGGAAAAAATATTATATATATAGAGAGAGGGGGGGTGTATCTAGGTATCTGACAGACACATATGGTATAACAAATGGTCACTATTTCAGGATTGTCATGGCAAGTTATCAAAATTTTCGAAATACTAGAAGCTGAAAGAATTATTCTGTGAACATCCATGTACCTGCCGCTCAGATTCTACAACTGACATTTTACTCTTTTCTTCATCACATATTTATCCATTCACCCATCAATCAATTCATCTTTTTAAATACATTTCAAAGCAACTTGCAGTCATTGATAGATGAAATAGTATATTTGAGTTCTCTTAAAGATATGGACAGTTTTCTTCCTATTTCATTCCATCTTGTAAAAATTGTATTTGACAAATATATAGAATTGGGTGGACTCAATATTTTCTCATATTGACATGAAATCTATGAGAATTTAGTAGAGAAATTGCTGAAGAAACAAATTCTGTAAATATTATGCTCTAGGGTGCATACCCTTATTTAATGTGCTTCAGATCACATCTTTGCCTTGGCTTTAGAATGTAATAAAAATTTAGACATTTTGAACTGAAAAGGAATAGTTGTGCCATTTGATATTAAAGTTGGCTGATGGATAAAATAGGCATTGTATCTTTTCACTTCCTTGAGCATTTTGGAAGTCACGCTGGGTTTTTATCTGGAATGTTGGGCAAGAATTTCTCTCAGAGAAAGTGAAATCAAGACTTGAATATATTAGGGGTTTTCAGAGCAACAGAACAAGTAGGACATATGTAGACATATGAGAGTAAATGTATTATGAGACTTGCCTTGTACAGTTATCAAGGTTGAGAGTCCCTGCGATACGCCATCTGCAGTGTGGAGAACCAAGAAGGCTTGCTGGTGTAATTCTTAGACTCCAAAGGCCTGAGATCTGATGTCTGAGGGTGAGAGAAGATGCATGTCCCAACTCAAGGAGAGACAGCTCTGCTGCCTTCTTGTTCTTCCCAGGCCCTCAACCGATTGGATGGTGCGCACCTAGACTGGTGAAGGCGGGTCTTCCTTACTCAGTACTCATTCAAATGCTATCATCATCTGGAAACCCCCTCACAGATATACCTACACACAGTGTTTTACCAGCTATCTGGGCATCCCTTAGCACAGTCAAGTTGGCAAAATTAATCATGACACTTGAGCCAATTGTACAAGTGAATCAGGTTCACTTCACAACTTCCATGCCTTTTTTTTGGGGGGGGGTACCGGAGATCGAACTCAGGACCTTGCACTTGCGAGGCAGGTGGGGTGCCACTGAGCTAAATCCCCGGCCCTTCCATGCCTTTTTATTCTAACCTACCTTCCTCCAAATGGGATCACCTCATTTTACCTGACCACTTTGTGTTCATCATTCTTTCTTTTTAATGTATATTCTTCAGGTCATTGTCTGGATCCTTTATTTTTCTCTATCATATGAAATGATGTAGGAAATCCTTGATGAGTTAATTAATTAGGGAATTCAGTAAATGTTTATGGATAGTCATACCCCATGGAAAGCATCAGGAAAACAAAAACAAAAAAGAATGAGTAAGAATGGGAGGATGGTGGTGGTGTATGTGCTGGCAGAACCTTGTAATCCTAGCTTCTCAGGAGGCTGAGGCAGGAGGATCACAAGTTCAAGGCCAGCTTGGGCAACTTAGTGAGATCTTGTCTCATAACAAACTAAAAAGGGATGGGGATGTAGCTCATCACTCCCTGGGTTCAATTCTCAATACTGCAAAATAAATAAAGAAATTAACAGATAACTATCTTTACTATTAAGGCAAAATGGTTAACATTGTATGTTAACCAATAGAGGTAACCAAACTACATAAATGAGACCCATTAGAACCCCCCCACACTTTTCTATTTAATTCTTTTTTTTTTTTGGTACCAGGGATCGAACTCGGGTCCTTGCGTTTGCACAGCAGGCGGCGAAACCACTGAGCTAAATCCCCGGCCCCCCACTTTTCTATTTATTATTATTATTAGTAGTAGTATTATTATTATTATTGGTGGTGTTTTTTTGAGACAGGGTCTCACTATGTAGTCCAGGCTGGCCTTGAACTCACTATGTAGCCCAGGCTGGCCTCAAATTTGTGACGATCCTCCTGCCTCAGCCTTCCAAGTGCTGGGATTACAGACACATGCCACCATGCCTAACTCCCTCTACTTTTCTAATTACAATAACTTTTTCTTGGCTGTGGGGCTGGAGATGGAACCCAGGGCCTCATATATACTAAGCATTCTCTCTACCACTGAGCTACATCCCAAGCCTCTTGACGGTAACACATTTTTTTTATTCAATCTCTACTTTCCTTTACATTGTGTAGATACCAACTAGGAGTGCACTCTGAAGGCCAATGTTATGTTAATGATTAATTAGAAAACTTATAATGAGCAAGAATTGTTTCATGGATTTAAGAAAAAGCAAGATCAATATCTTTCCCATGGTGTGTATTTTTATATAACTGTCCCAGAATTCCAAGGTGCATTATAAAAAGCCTGTCAAATTGCATTGAATCAGGTCTGATATTAACACTAGAAAATGAAAGGCATAGCCATTTTATTACTTTTTAGTACTTACACTCTATGAACTCATTTATTTCCTATACAAATTAAATGCTGTGTTTTAAAAATGTTTTTCCATTTTTTAATTAAAATCTTGAGATAAGGTAAAACATTTTGTATTACATCTCAGTCTATTTGCATATATTCATGGGAAAGGTGTCTTTGGATTCATTTTGAACTGTCAACCCTTTGAGGAAGGGATATTAGTAAGATGCTTATCAAGCCACTTTGTACTTGGGCCAAGCAAATAAGCAAAGGACCAGAATGAAATGGACCATAGTTATTCCTTACTCGTATAACTTCATACACATCATTATCACTTGATTTCCATAAGAAGTTAATAACTTTACCTTGATACCTTTGAAAGGCAGAAAGAAATCTTCCTTGCAGAGCTGTTGTGGGAGTCAGTGAGACAATATAAGGAAAGTTTCTGGCACATAGTAGTGTTTCATAAATGGTTTCAACTGCTGAGAGGTTATGGCTTAATGTTTGTTTGTTTGTTTTTGGTACCAGGGATTGAACTTGGGTCCTTGCGCTTGCAGAGCAGGCAGCAGAACCACTGAGCTAAATTCCTGGCCCAGTACTCACTATTATTATCTTTAACATCTTCTTTTATAGTAAAGGAAACTGAGGCACAGGAAATCAACCAATTTATCCAAGGACATAACTAGAGCTAGCTTTTGAACCCAGGCAACCTGGTTCCAGATTCCTCGGTTTTAACTACTAAGCTGTACTGCCGCAGTGACAAACTACTTTTATACAGCTCTCTATTCTAGTATGGTTTTCTTCCTTGGGTCTTTTGAAGCTGACATCTTCCTCCCTCCCTCTCTTTTTCCATTCCTTCTTTCTCCCCCCTGCCTTCCTGTTTTTCTTTTTAACAAAGAACAATGTTTTTATTTACCTTCTGCTACCAAACTCATACAAGACATTATGATTCAGTTGCTACTTATATCTCCCTTGCCAACTGTCATAGTCTGTGATTGTGGTGATCACTGTACTGCTCAGAGTACAGCTCCTTGGGTCAGAGAAACAGTGTCTTGGAAAAATTTTTTTTTTTGGTACCGGGGATTGAACTCGGGTCCTGGCGCTTGCACAACAGGCAGCGAAACCACTGAGCTAAATCCCCAGCCCTCGTCTTAAAAATTTTTTAGAAGACATGACTGCAGTTTAGGTTTGCCCAAGGTGCAGAAGAAAATCATTTGGAAGTATTGAGGCCTACATTTCTGTTCTTTCCACACTGTGGTTAAGCTTAGTGCCTGGATGACACGGATAAAGGTTGTAAAAGTTTTAAATGAAGTACTGGACTTGAATTTGTAAAGTGACATTTTCCCAAAGGGTATAAACTTTAAATGAAACCATGTAAGATCTGACAGTCTGATTTATGCTCTGAGCAGGGCCAAGGAATTAGTAATACTCACCTCTTCCTGCAAACACTATACATTTACATGTTGATTTGATTCTTAAGCTTTTCTTCCAGGTACTGATTGCATGATGAGGTTTAGGCCCAGATGGGCGTTTCATGAATGCTTTCTGACAATCAATGAATAGAAGGTTTATTTAGTCTTCTAGACTTGTCCCACATATATGCAGGATAAAAATGTCTCACATCTTGATTACCACTTGTTTATATATTATTGAGAACCAAAAGGGGTAGCACTCATGGATCCTGACATCTTAGCAGGATGATTCTGTGGCACCTAATGGAAACTCTGACTCAAAATATCTTAAATATAAGCCAAAGGCAGAGTACGTTTAATTAGGCAACTCACTGGTGTCATTAAGGACCTAGTTTTTTTTTTTCTATTTTTCAACTCTGCCTTACTGAGTAGGCAGGCTTTGACCTAAGGTTGGTTTTCCTCTTGGTCACAAAATAGCTGCCAATGGTAACTGGGGTACTTGCTTCCTTGTTCATCCAGAGGAATAGACAGGGAAAAAAAATTTCCCAAATTATGGGCTGTTAAGTTCTTTCCTTCAGTCTAAATCAAGCTACACGGGGGCTGATTGAGACTGAATGGGACGTAGTCCCTGGAAGTGTGAAGTAGCTGGACACCTGAACGCAATGCAATGGAAGTTCTATTAGAAGGGGGAAGGAGCAAACAGATGCCGAGGAGGCTCTGAAGCTGGTTCTTCATCTGGAAAATAGAAAAAGTCTTGCAGAGAATTGTGAGGATTAGAGAGAACATGTGTCAGATTGAGCAAGTAAAAATAGAGGATGTCGGCTGGGCATAGTGGTGCATGCCTATAATCCCAGCATTTGGGGGACTGAGGCAGGGGGATCGTCAGGAGTTCAAAGCCAGCCTGAACTACATAGTGAGGCTCTTTCTCAAAAACCAAAAGCGAACAAAATAAAACAAAATAGAAGATGTCTAGTTAAATTTGAATTTCAAATAAACAGCAGATAATATTTAATATAAATTCTATGAATTTAATATAAATTTCTATGAATACTACAAATTTACATATGGGTTTGGTTCTTAAGCTTTTCTTCTACAATCCTGATTGCATTAGGAAGTCTAGACCCAGAAGGTCATTTCATAATTTTTTTTTGAGATAAGGTCTCGCTTTATAGTGCAGACTGGCCTTGAAGTCACTATGCAGCCCAGGCTGGCCTCAAACACACAGTGATCCTCCTACCTCAGCCTCCTGAGTGCTGGGATTACAGGCATGTGCCACTATGCCTGGCCATAAATTTTTGTCTTTTTTGGAAAGTGTTTAGAAGGCTTACTTAGTCTTCTAAAGAAATTAATCATTGTTTATCTGAAATTCAAATTTGATGAGAGGTCCTGTACTTTACCCGGCAGTTCTAAATGTATGTAGAGTTCTCACTCAGCACAGAAGAGATGTTCCTTCAGCAGTATTAGTGTTCTTTCCACATAAGAAAAAAGCTCAGTTAGGTGGCAGCATAGTATTTTTAAAACTCATACTAACCTAGAATGGTGAGTTTGTTTTTTTTTTTTTTCTACTCAAAAGAGAAATTAACTGAACTGGATGTGGCTACAAGAAACCCTGCCCCACTGTTCAAAAACAGATGAGAACAAAGGTCCCTAAGTGGCAGGACATATTTGTACATGTGGGATGGCACATTACAAAACATCTAATATTACTACTTAAAAGGACATCAAACTTACACCACTCATCACTGGATATTTGGGCATCAATTTTGCATTGTCTGTTCTAAGGTTATCCAGATAAACAATTCTTCATTTGAGTCAAAGGTAATGCTGCTGGAATTTCTAGTACGAAGCTGCTAACGGGTGAAAATGGAGTGATGGTCCCAGGAATCCTGGCTCTACGTGGGTGACTTTGCATCGGAGGAGGCAGAACCTCTGCAAAGCCCTTTGCTGTTGCCAGTGACTCCATTTTCTCTTACTGCTAATTCACTGCTCCTACCTGTATCATTTTCTAACAATTCCAGGAAAGGTGAAGAGAAAGCAGGTACCTTCATTTCTTCATCAAATATTCACTGTTATAAAAAAGAAAACCTTATTGGCCTGGCATTAAGTGACCAAACAGCGCATTGCTACATATCATTACCAGATTCAAGACAGCAATAGATTAAGTGGATTTTATCCAAGATATCTATTTCCTATTACAATACTGCAGATTTCTAATTGGGTGGCTGCTAGAACCTCATACACTGCCTATTTTCTGTGGTTTCTAAAAATCCAGAAAACAGCCTATTTTTCCCCTTTGCTTTTTTTTAAAAAGTGGAAATCATTATACAGCTTTTACATAGATCTGTTTGTAACGTTTTTGCATAAGATTATTATTTTTTCGGATTTTCAAAAAGTGTCATTGGAAATTTATTTCCTGACATTTCATCACCTCTTCATCCTCATCGCAAAACTGATCCTATTAAGATCTTCAAATTTCTACCGGCCGGACGATGACTTCATTGCTTTCTCGCCAGCCAGAGGATCGTGTGTGGCAGACCATCGGACAGAAGTAGAGCTGTTGGTTGCTGCAGCAGCCGTTTGCATGCGCCCAGCTGCTGTGTAAGGAATCCTCGGGCTACTAGTTTTTTGCTCCTAAGTCACTCAAAGGATCGCAGGCTGCTGAATGAGGGTCCCTGTGACTGTGTGTGCGCGCGCGTGTGTTTGCACGCGCTGCTGCAACAGTTAGGCAGCCACAGCAATGGACTTCGATATCATTTTTACCCACGACCGAGATAAAACCATCCTGTATCCTTTCTTTCCAAGCAGTACCTCGGTTCACGCCTTAAATGTGCTCTCTCCCTCTTCCCGGTCCTTGCGGCCCCCTCCCTCCACGCCGCACGGGTCCCTCCAGAGGGAGGCTCGCAGAGCTGCGCTGGAGGCAGGATTCCCCCCTTTTTTTTCCGCAGTGACAGGCGGATTCCGGGGCCTCCTCGTTCCCCCTCCCCACCCCCGCAGCCACCCCCTTCTCAGTCACGATCTTTCCCCGCCCCTCCCCCCCGCGTCAGCTAGCGGTCCGGCCCCGCCCCTCCTATCCTCCCAGCCCAAGTTGCTAGGGTTTGGCGGGGCAACCAAACCTGGTGTGCGAGGAGGCGCGGCACGCGTGAGCGCGCACACACGAGCTTGTACAGGAGACCAGCATTCTCGGACTTCAGGCATTCGAGAACGCGCGGCGAGGGCGGGGCGCGCGAGCCCGAGCGCACGGCCCAGCATTCTCTTAGCATTGGCTCCTACCGTAAGTGGGCGGGGACGAGGCGGGACCGGGCGGGACCCGAGGAGCTTCTCTATTGGTCAGAATGGGCAGGCCGGGGCGGGGCAATTAGCAACTTAGGCTGCGCGTTAGCTCCTGCGAGAAGGCGGGGCCGGAGGTTTCGATTAGTTGTCTCTGCCTCTGGGGAAGGTATATCGGCGACGGCGGCTTCGGGAGCTGTGGGGTCCCGGGCTGGGGGACTCGGCGGGTGAGTAACGGCGTCCGCCCGCCCGCGAGGCTTTCTTCCCCTCACATCGTCCCGTGTCCGCTCAGCTTCTCCCGGGAGAGGGGACCCACCCGGTCCCCTCGGGCGAACAAGAGAAGGGGCGGCGGCGCCGGTCCTCCCGAACGGGGCGAGGAGGTGAGGGCGTCCCAGCCGGGAGCGGCACCTCCGTGGCGAGCCTCAGCGCCTTTGGAAGGTCTTCCCCCTGGGCTGGGCTGTGCTGCGTTTCGGGGTGCGGAGAAGTGGAGTGCGGAAGAGGGGCGGCGGGTCGAGGCTGCTCCGCGGGGCTCCCCTCGGCGGCGGGGCTGCGGCGTCCTCGCCCCGTCGCCCTCGCGGCGCGACTCCCCGGGGCTTGCGGCGAGGGGAGCCCCTTTCCGCCGGCGCTGAGGAGGGGCTGCGGGGCCGGAGCTCCCGCCCGACTTCCGAGACGGCTCGCGACCCGCGGGGGGCTTCGAGGGGCGGCCCCGGCCCTCCTGACCTTGGCTGCCCGCAAGGGTGGGCGAGCGACTTTGTCGCCCGGCGCCGCGGCTTCTGCAGCCTCCTCCGAACAAGTTTCGGGCGTTGCTGTGAAGTTCACCACTGGCATCGGTGAGGAGGAGCAGAAATTGGTCCCTTCTCAGGTCTTCACATCCTTTGGACCCTTATAGAAATCGAATCCTGGGGGTTGGAACCGTCTCCCAGAACGAACAGGTCCTTCTCGCCTTGACACGTTTTCTGCCCACGTTGGGGTAAAAAATAACCTGAACATATTTCAGGGTAGAGGCAGCTCTTCCTTGAGGGTTTTGTTTTTCGCTTCGCTTGAGTGTTATAGCACAGATGCCTGAATGAGAAAAACCTGACCTTAGTATCTCTACAGAGAGATTAGACGGATGCTGTGCTGTTTAAGTAGTCGCAGATCAGTATTTTGTTAACAATTTATTTTAATTGGCTGAAATTTAAGCTGGTTTTAGAAAGTATTGTTGACACAGAATAATTTCTTTCCGTGCATCCTGAATTAGGTTTGTTTGAACGTAATGGTAATATAGTTAATATAAAAGATTACACAAATTAATTTGTCTGAGAGCGTTGGGCTGAAACAGGACCCATAAATATGTATAGTACAGGATTACCGTTTTAGGTAACATCTGCTGGAACATTTCCACCTTGTTCGTTCTTGCTGTAAGGTTACAAGAAAGACATTTTAACTGATAGTATTTGGAATTACATGTGAATGGCATTTAGGTGTAAATTTGTTTTTAATTCCTTTAAGTGTTTTAAAATAGGTTATTCATAAAATGTGAAGAGGGTATGTGTACTTGTCCCTGTGCATTTGGTGTTGAAGGAAAGAGAATCTTATATTTAACAACTTAATTAGGTTCATTAATAATACAATTTTAAAAGGTGTGCCCCTTTTCGAGCATATATTTACCTAGCAAGCCTTTTTTTTTGTTGTCGTTTTGTTTTTCTTACAAGTACTGTTTTAGGTCTGAGCATTTTTGGCGTTGACACTAGAGCCAGAGTAAGAGAGCCTGCAGCAGTATTACCAGTTTGACACCACCAGTGGGAGTTTCTGTTGACAAATGCGGAGAGAACATTTGAGAAGGAAATCTTTTTTGGGGGGGGGGGTGCTGAGGGCGGGGTGAGGGGAGGAGTCAGATGAGAAGCTGTGGAACTGAAGCTCCCAGCACTGTGTATGCTGAGCATTTCACAAGTACAAGGAAACCTAGTTAGGAAAAAAAATCCCTTTGACTGTATTAAATAATAGAGCTCCAAAAGAGGCATACTAAATAAAGTTAACCATTTCAAAGGTGTTAAATAATCTTCCATTTCACAGCAGTTGGCAAGGGTGTCCTCGATTGGAAGGAGTATGAATCCCTTTGAATTGCCTTGCCTTTTAGCATAATCAGTGCAGTGGTTAATTTGATATATGGATACATATAAAAACAACTTAATATCCTAATTTTATTTAGCATGTTTTCTAAGACTAATTTTTTGAGAAGAAAATTTGCTTTATTAAAAAAAGACTAGATGGCCTTTCTCCACAGAGGATCACTTTTTTCTCTGTTCAGTCTTAACAGTTTTATTCATGATTAGGGACTTGTGTTAGGGATTGTTTTTTTAACCCCTTCTCTCGGGTTTATTTTTACTTATGCAGGTTTCCTAACCAAATCTGCCATTGTTTTCATTGTAATGTTCTTGGAGCTATTTAAATCCGTGTGGCATCTACTGTGTTCCCTGGGGTTTTAAAAGGAAAGGTTCCCATTGAAAGAAATTGCAGGGCCATCTCACATAGATGTATGTAATCGAAGATTGACTGACTGCGAGTCAGATGTATTCTCTTCCAGATATGCTTCACAGGGATAAGGCAGTTTCATTTAATGAGAACCAGATCTTACATGGTATTTTTATTTAGAAGGTTGCAGTATTCTTACATTACAGCCCAAAATACCGAGGTGGAGAAATTCCTTTAAGTAGCTGTTTTCCTCCAGCCTTGTTTCACCACTGAGGCCAGTCATCTATGAGAGACTCTCAACAATAGTTGCATTGTTTGAAATGACAGTGGCTTCTCTTGTAGACGATTAACCTTTCATTATGATTTATGTTCCAGTTTACTTTGTAATAGAAAATTCAGCTATGTCTGAGAAATTAGCTGGAGGAAATTTGTAAAGAAGTGAGCAAGGAAAATGTTTTCTTCAGTGTGTTGGTTAAGATTTTAACTTTTCCCTCCTTCCATTTGGAGAAATTTGGTGGTTATCTTTTTCAGTCTAAATTTTAGAAGGTATGCTAGTATAGTACTTTATTTTTGGCATTTAGGGTGGGGATATGACTTTTTCATAGAATAAATTGATGTTAAATAATAACTTGAGGCATTTAAGAACAAGTGAATCCACATATGAGGGAAGACCTTTATGGAGTCTTTCTCCTTGGTTCAAAAATATAAAAAATTGAAGTGTTAAGTTGCTTTCTGAGGAGAAAAGGCTGTTTATTCAGAATTAGAATTTTAGATGTTACAGTTTTATTTTTTATTTTTGGCAACATTAAATAATTTGGTAACACCAAATTCCTTGATAGAGGAAGAAATAGACTCAAAGGTTCTTTATCATCTCATGGTGTTGTGTCACATATTTCACCTTAGAAAATGATGTAATTAAAAAACGACATTTAGGGTGGAGATGTAGCTCAGTGGAGGAGCATATGGCCCTGGGTTTGATTACCTGCCCTGGGCCCGCAGGGAGACTTACATTTAAACTGTATTTGGAGGCTTTTCTAAAAACTTTGCTTTTAATCATAAACGCAACATTAGCAATCTTGTGTTAGTGGCACACTTTTTAAACTTGGATTTTAATTTTTGACAGTTTCCAGAATGTTTCCTTTGAGGGCAGTGCTGTCGGTGGATGTGAAAGCTGAAAGGGAAGACCTTCTACCTAAACATTCCTAAAACATATCCCCCCCACCCCCAGGCATTGAACTCAGGACTTTGTCCTTGCCAGGCAGGTGCGGCACCGCTGAGGTACATCCTGGGCCCTAGACCTGTAACATCTAAAGTGTCATCTGATAGTGTTGTGTCAGCTGGACCCCGCATTTCAGATTTGGAAATTAACAGAAAATTATTTATTAGGCTAAAAAGACCTAGCCCATTTAGATCTTTGAAATCGATCATCAGCACTTTGAATTAATCTCTTAAAAATATTTGTGTGTGGACAATAGTTCTAATCAGGGTCATGTTTTGGGTGTGGTCTCTCGGATAGTCGTCTCTATAATTCTTATGATATTACATTTATTGAGTCTTGCTGAATACAGGCTACTGTGGCAAATTATTTGTTTGCATGAACAGGTATATATGTATGTTCTCAGCATCTCTATGAGGTAGGTGTTTTTCTTTTTTCCCATATACATGTCAAATGGGCTCAGAAATAATTTGCACAGATTAGCCAGCAAGTCAGCAAAAGAGGCAAAATTGCCATCCAAACCGGTCTGACTTGAAGCTGTGCTCTTCAAAACCATGCTAGGAATCGGTTTCCCCAAACATGTTTTGTGTTCCTGTTATACTTCGTACCTGGGGAGGTATAAATATGCCTCTTGGATTTGACCAGCTACCTTGGCAAGTCTGCTTGACCTTTAGTGACATAGGGGGCTGGAGCCAGATTCATCAGGACTGCTGAAAAAGTCAACCTGAAGTATAGGCTTTTCTAATACAGGGTCATTAGTTCTGTTTCTTCATAAATGAAGGTTGCACATAATCATTTATGCCCTAAATGAGGTAGCTCTTTCTAATTAACCACTTGGTGTTTCATGTTTCTGCATGTTCCATTTTAACTTTTGACTGACTTTGATTAAATTTGCTTCACTAATAAAGGCTATGAAGATAGATACTCTTTGAATTCAGTTTTGTGGTTTAGATGTATTCTTGAAGTAAAATGGAAGCCATTACAATTTGTAGACAGTCATCTGGTCTGTCTGTAATTACACTAACTTCAGTAAAATAAAATATAGAGGTGATGTCTACAGAGATGTGTTATTGTTGTACACTGGAAGTTGGACTCTGATGAAAATTTTTCTACTTAAAAATAGAATTTTCAGGGCTGAGATGTAGCGGAGTGGTAGAGCACTTGAGTAGCCGGAGAAAGGCCATAGGTTTGATCACCAGCACTGCCACACCAAAACAAAACAAAACCCAGAATTGTCTGCTGTCTGAAGCCTCTTGTAATTGATTTTTGTTTTTGTTTTTTTAAGAGTCTTCATTAAGGAGCCAAACAGTTGCTTAATCTGAAAGGACAGTTAGGAGTCCATGTAGGCAGGAAAAGGACTTAACTTCTTTTTCTGTAATTGATGAAAATCACTTTTGTTACTTATTAAAGTTAGGAAGTAGTGATCAATATTTTAGAGCCTCAGGGCCAGAAATCCCCTTGACCAAAGTGGGATGGATGTTTTACACAGATGGGGGCCTATACCAAAGTTTTTATTGATTTCTTTACAAAGCACAGTTTTCTATTATGCATTTTCAC